TCTCTCTCTCTCTCTCTCTCTCTCTCTCTCTCTCTCTCTCTCTCTCTCTCAGCCTCCCACATAGGTGGGTGCCGTCCTGTAACATGAGCCTGTAACTTTCTCCCCTCCGCTGGTGGAGTTGGCGCTCCAGAAGACTACTCCACGTCCCTTGGCCAGATAGTGCTCAGTAGCATGCAGAGCACTATGAGTCTTCTTCCTCATGTCCACCGTAGGCTAGGAGCTCCGGCAGCTCTGCGCAGCAGCAATAGCAATAGAGAATTTGCCGCTGAAGCAGCCTGGCAACCTCCCACCAAATTGTGTGTTGGACTGGACTACTGGCTGGACATTCGGCCAGCCCTTTCTTCAGCCTAATAGGCCTCTGATCCTCGACATAGACCAGGCCCATTTGTTGGGCCACCAAGCCAACAAGCACGTTTCCCTGGCCGGTATCAAACAATTTTGACGGCCGGTGCCATTGAATTTCCAAGGCAGAGACTATGCAATTTCCAGAGCCCATCCTATGCAATTTCTAAGAAGATACCATGCAATGTCCACAGCTAGCCACCGCATCCCCAGTGTACAGATGTCTTTCCTTTTTTCGTTTGTAAGTGTGTACAACCCATTGTAGTCCGGGTACTCCGGCTTGCACAGGGTTGTACTCCACTGGCGCTACTACTTTTTGCAAAAAAGATATCAAACAATTATGAAAAAAAACTTTAAAAAAGTATACGTGAAAGAGCACGTCATCTCATAAACAAACTTCTGCCCCAAACAAGCGTGAAATTCGTAAAAGATTTTGAGATAAAAAAAGAAAGGCAAAAAGGAGAAAAAAAAAAAAAAACTTTCGTGTACGCTATACAAGCGTACAAAAAAAAAAAAAAAAAAAAAAAAAAAAAGTGTCATATAACGGGTGCATTATACGGATTTACATGATGTACGATGTGACATACTGCAGCCGGTACCAGGCAATTTCCAAGGCACTTTTCTAGCCTCTTACCCAGCCATTTTAGGCCTACTGGTCTACCGGCTTCATCATTTTGCAAATAAGTCCCGGTACCCAGAATTGTGCTGAATCCAATTACCAAAAAGTAGAAAGGACAGACGAACCAAAACAATCTCGAAATAACAGCAACAAAAAATGGAAGTCACATCAGACGCTGCAAACAGAATACAAATATGATACACTCGCTGGCGTTACAAAACAGTGGGTTCCTTTTCCCCAAAACAAAAAAAAAAACAAAAAAAGAAAAGGCAGTGGGTTCTTGCTCCCAAATATATTAGAAGCACAACAACAGACAGCACCGAGGAGGAAGTGTGACCGTCTGCAAATACCTCCTTTGGAAGTGGGTGCTTGGAAACGCTCTTCTCATCCTGTGAAGATTTGCATTCTCCACAGTGTGTCGGCGACCAATCCCAAGTCTCAGAGAACGATGTGCCGCGCCTTGGGGTTCCCAAGCTCCCACAGCGGACAAAACTGCCACTATGAGCCCGAGGGGTTCTACATCGAGGGGAGGCAAGTCGATCCTCCCATGGAGCAGTCACCTCTCTTGTTGCCGATAGTCGCAGATCCTTCCATTCCTTGTCATCCTTGAGGCTCAGTGGTGGAGGCATTGTTGCTTCGGGTGGTTTGGGGATGCCGCTACGACCCCCAGAAGTAGAGGGATGTGGAATCGTCAACATAGGGGGAGTCATGACCGGGGTATTGCTTTGTTGTTGTGCTGAAGGAGGTGTTGCAGGAGGATCGCGCCAAACGTTTGCCTCCTCCAGCCGATGTGGTGGAGGCATTGTTGCTTCGGGTGGTTTGGGGATGCCGCTACGACCCCCAGAAGTAGAGGGATGTGGAATTGT